GCTCAGAGGCTGAACCTCGAGTGGCCCTGCTGTGGTCCCCACTCTCTAGGCAGTGTGGCCAGCACGGTCCCAAGGAGAGCATGGCAGGCAGCACTACCTTCTCATCCAGTGTGAAGCGGTGGTAGATGCCCGCTGGGAGGGGGTGCATGTCGCCCTTCTCCATGGAGATCCGGATCCACCTGTCGTCCTTGTCCCTGATGTCAAAGTACCCGCTGCCGTCCAGGATGTAGCGGATCTCCTCGTCCAGGTGCAAGTGCTCCGTGTAGAAGATCTGGATCTGGGGGAGCAGGAGTCCTGTGAGGCGGGAAAGGAAGGGTCCCTCCCCACAGTGACACAGCCATGACCACACAATGTCCATGGAGCCACTGAGGGACCCGAGGGGACAGACCCACCCTGGGCTGAGGCAGGAGACTTCCCGGGGAAGATCAGCGGAAAAACCTGAGCCTTCCATGGTGAAAGCCACGCCCTTCCTGGGGATTGCACCTCAGGCTTCACCCTCCAGGCACTGTTAGCATCTCCCAGCTATACCTGGGGGTTCGGAGTCTTCCTACGTAAAGGTTACAAGTTTCTGGTCGGTGTTGGGGCACATACGTATAATCCCAGCACTCTGGGAGGCAGGAGGATTACAAGTCTAAGCCCAGCCTGGGCTATTCAGTGACTAAGTGAGACTTTGTGAGACTTTGTCTCACTTAGAAAAAAAGGGCTGGGATGCAGCTCCATGTGAAGGCCCTGAGTTCCATCGCCAACAATGCAGGAAAAAAAAAAAAAGTATCCCATTTCTGGAGACGCTGAATGTCTGGAAAATCGGCCCTTATAGAAGGACAAAGGGCACGGGCCCCTCCCTGGCAGTCGGGTTTCACCATGGGAGCTGTGGGCAAGGTGGTGGGACAGGAGGGGGCTTCGACATCCTATACAGACTTGGGAGCCACATCTGCCCCAGTGGGGCCGACCTTGGCAACACGAGCAAGGTCACACGGGCTATCCTGAGTGCCGAGAAAGACTGCGACAGCTCCCAGACCACACAGGCTGCCCGCATGCCTCCTGCAGTGTAGATGCTGCCATGGCTGCCAGGAAGTAAGAGAGATGGTGAGTATCAGGTGCAGGGCATGGCGTGGCGCGCAATGTACAGTTCTAACTTCAGAACCTGCTTATGATTTACCAAGTCACAGCACTCAGGAGGCTGAGGCAGGAGGATCACAAGTCCAAGGCAAGCCTGGGGTATATGCTGAAACCGTGTCTCAAAAAAACCAAAAACTTAAGAAAGAAATAAGAAAAAAGTCTTAAAACCAGTAACCTCAGCTTCTACCTAAAGAAATTAGGGGAAACAAAGAGCACATTAAACCCAAAGCACATAGAAGGAGACAAAGATCAGAGCAGAAATCAATAAAAAGAAAAAAAGAATCAATGAGGCCAAAGTTCCCCTGAATATCAACGAAATCAGTGAGTCACTAGCCAGGGCCAGCAGGGGAGACGCATGGCACCAGGTCAGCACCCACAGGTGTCCGGGACAGGAGGGGATGTTCAGAAGGACCTGAGGCCACAGAGAGATGCCCGGCCCCAGCTCCTCTGAGCTCAGTGTGTGACATGTCTGGCCAGGAGCTGGACATGTGGTCACCGTCCTTCCCAGGCATAATGCCGCCTGCCTGTGATCTCAGTACTCTGGACACTGGGGCAGGAGGATCACAAGTTCAAGCCCAACCTGGGCAACTTAGCCACTTAACAAGAAATAAAAATAAAAGGGCTGCGGATGTGACTCAGGTTCAAATCTCTAATACAAAAATAAAAAACAAAAACAAGCCCTGCTCCCCAGCCACCACTGGAGAGTCCACCAAACACGGGAAGATACCACCACCTTGCTGAGGGCTGGGAGGGGGACCCACGTGCAGGACGGCCACTCCACTTCGAATCTGCAGGAAGATGGTAACGGGAGAGAAGGGGCCGCATGTCCCTCCTGGCGGCCTCACCTTCTCCTTGAAGTTGGGCAGTTTGTCCCTGCAGATGGTGATGATGTCCATCCAGGAGTAGCTCCGGTCCCTGCGGATCTGCGCCAGCGTGGGATCCGTCTCATACTTGTCAGCATCCAGCTATGTGAGCAGGTGATGAGGGGGAGCCCCATTAACATGAAGGGACATGAACGCCTCTCTCAGGACCCCCAGGATGATTCTATCCTAGCCAAACACATACTCATTCCTCTGACATTTTTACTGTTTATTTGCTTGCAATACTCTGGGCTGAAACCAGGACCTCACACTGGGATGGTGGAGCCAGCCCTATTTGATTTCTTTTTGAGACTACAGGTGGGCTTGAATTTGTTATCCTCCTGTCTCAGCCTCCCAGAGTGCTGGAATGATGGGTATGCACCACCATGCCCAGCTTCACTTATCCCTTTGCCAGCTCTAAAGCTTCCCTCCTTCCCATCTTCTCACTTCCACCTCCAAGAGGCCGACCCCTTCTTGTCCCTGTCACCCGACTGGCCAATGACACTGCTCTGTCCTGTAGCCCATTCCTCTGCCACTTCCACAGAGAAGGGGTCTCACTGCC